AGACGGCAACAATATAGGGCTTGACTAGGGGAATCGCTAGGTGAGGTAAGGAGTCTTTTCTCAGCTCCAGGATTCCTTAACGGGTCCATTTCGCAGCACGTTGGCTCGCAATTTCATGAAAGAATATACGAGCGTTTTTGACGAGCTGCCTTGGCCAACTTCTAGTTCTGCTGCTCGGAGGAGTAGGGCTGTTGTGGAAGCTTGACGAAAAATTCTTCGATTGAGAAACCATCATGGAGGTAGACCTTTACCTTCCACAACTGTACTCAATCGAAGTACTTGTAAACGAGCTTAGGTTGGTGTCAGAGTCCGCGCGCCGTCGTCGCAATCTCAATGTCCATTTGAACATTTTACACACTGAATATGAAACAAGTAGGGCCATAAACAGTCGCCATTCAATCATCACATATCAAGCAGAAATGGCATCGGGATTGGAGAGCACCTCGCTGTATCCCTTTTTGGTCATAAATACTACCCACGAAATTTTCAAAACAAAAAAAAATTGAAAAAAGAGATTTTCTTTGCAACTTCATAGCAGAACTTTGCATCGTTTGTATTTCTAAAGATTATTTTCCACCTTGGCAATTGAGTGTTACACCCATGAAAAAAAAAGAAAAATTTGAAAAAGAGATTTTCTTCTCAACTTCATAGCAGAATTTTGCATCGTTCGTATTTCGAAAGATTATTTCCACCTTTGGCGATTAAATGTTACCACAACATAAAGGCAGTTGTTCGCTTACCTCATACGTAAATCATTTATCATTTGTTGTTGACGAAGGATGAGGGCGATTTCTTCCAAATCGCTGGAACCGCCGCTTAGAGAAACAGAATTGCCATCAGGTCCTAACAAAGAGAACGGCTGACGTCCTGAATTGTGCAATGTAAATAAATCCAATTTCTCAGTGCTAAATGTGAAGAGAACGACTGAGCAAGACCTTGATCACTCCGCATGCTGCCACTTCGACTAAAGTGAGAAGACGCGAGAAGATTGGCGTTTTGCAGTAGTTGGTCACGCATAAGACTCAATTCATGCTCCATAACAGCACGACGTTCGCTTTCTGATAAAGATAACATTGCAGAATATCAATAATTTCGCTACAAATTAAATATCTAAAGACCTGCGGTAAGAGCGCTTCGCGTCTTTTTAAGATCGTCCTCTACAGCCACTGCATTTGAGTTTGATATTTTCAACTCGCTCACTAATTCCGTGATCTTCAACGATGCCTCCACTTTGTTCTAGAAAATACAAGAATTAACAATATACGAATACTGTAACTGAATAATAACAGCTTTCTGAAAATAAACCTGATCTAGCCGAGAAGTCAGCTCATGTATCCTAGTTTCAAGTTCTCCCTTTTGCGCCTCTTTTACATCGCATTCGGTCTCAAGTCGTTCAACTTCTAGAGCTAACTCTTCCTCCTTTTGAGCCGCACAAGCCTCCTGCTCCTTCCTGAAAAAAAAAAACATAACAACCAACATTCCTTTACCGAAGCGGATCATCTCACCTTTTGACCTCAAGCGCTGCAATTTCCGACAGGAGCTTTTCTTCAGCTGTCTTCAGCCGACTACACTCGGACGTCTACAAGAGGAACATAAACAAATGAAAATAAAGTAGAATGATGTGTACCAACATGCACAAGAGGGAAATCAGGTAGT